CTGTCCTTAGTAAAACCCTCTAAATGATTGACTTTTTGCTAAACTGAGAAGAAAATCTGCCTAGACGATTTGTGTACATTTTATGTAATGAACACTAAATCTCACACCTGTAATCCCACCCTTGGCTAATTTTTGTTCTTGTTAATTGTTTTCGGTTTTTTTTTTTTTAGAGACAGGGTTTTGCCATGTTGCCTAAATTGGTCTTGAACTCCTGAGCTCAAGTGATCCAATCGCCTCAGCCTCCCGGTGTTAAGATTACAGGTGTGAACTGCCACACACAGCCAGATTTTTTTTTTTTTTTTTTGAGACAGAGTCTCACTCTGTCGCCTAGGCTGGAGTGCAGTGGTGCCATCTTGACTCACTGCAACTACCGCATCCCACGTTCAAGCAATCTGCTGCCTCAGCCTCCCGAGTAGCTGGGATTACAGGCGCCTGCCACCAGGCCCAGCTAATTTTTGTATTTTTAGTAAGAGGCGGGGTTTCACCATCTTGGCCACGTTGGTCTTGAACTCCTGACCTCGTGATCCACCTGCCTCAGCCTCCCAGAGTGCTGGTATTACAGGCGTGAGCCACCACACCCGGCCCCAGATTCTGTATTTTTAACAAGCAACCAGGTTGATTCTTACTAGGTGTGTTTTGGAAATGCTAGACTAAGCAATGAAAACGTAAGAAGTGGAGAAATGCCACAGTTATTATTCTGAAACCTGTATGATAAATGAACTAGTTTCCTGTGGCTGCTGTAACAAGTTACCACAAACTTGATGGCTTAAAACTACATAAATTTAGGCCGGGTGCGGTGGCTCACGCCTGTAATCCCAGCACTTTGGAGGCCGAGGCGGGCGGATCACAAGGTTAGGAGATTGAGACCATCCTGGCTAACGCGGTGAAACCCTGTCTCTACTAAAAATACGAAAAGTTAGCTGGGCGTAGTGACGGGCGCCTGTAGTCCCAGCTACTCTGGGGGCTGAGGCAGGAGAATGGCGTGAACCTGGGAGGCAGAGCTTGCAGTGAGCGGAGATCTCGCCACTGCACTCCAGCCTGGGCGGCAGAGTGAGACTCCGTCTCAAAAAAAAAAAAACTACATAAATTTATTCTCTCAGTTCTGAAGGCCAGAAGTCAGAAATCAGTATCACTGAGCTGACGTCAGGATGTCAAGCTGGCAGGGCCAGCTCTCCCTCCAGAGGCTCGAGGGAAGGATTCCCTGCTTCCTCCAGCTTTCAGTGGTTACCAGCAGCAGCAGCCCTTGGTTTGTGGCTGCAGTACTCTAATCTGCCTCCATGGTCACAAGACCTTCTCATTAGTTATTGGAGTATTTTTTTCTGTGTCAGATTTTTTTTTTTGATACTGAGTCTCACTCTTGCCCAGGCTGGAGTGCAGTGGCCTCATCTCTACTCACTGCCAGCTCCGCCTCCCAGGTTCACACCACTCTCCTGCCTCACCCTCCCGAGTAGCTGGGATTATCGGCATGCGCCACCACACCTGGCTAATTTTGTATTTTTAGTAGAGATGGGGCTTCTCCACGTTGGTCAGGCTAGTCTCGAGCTCCTGACCTCAGGTAATCCACCTGTCTTGGCCTCCCAAAGTGCTGGGATTACAGGCGTGAGCCACCGGCAGCACCTGGCCTCTGCTTTTTGTATATAGATAATGTGCTGGCTCGGTGTTGTGGCTCACTCCTGTAATCCCAGCACTTTGGGAGGCTGAGGCAGGTGGATCACCTGAGGTCAGGAGTTGAAGACCAGCCTGGCTAACATGGTAAAACCCCATCTCTACTAAAAATACAAAAGTTAGCTGGGCCTGGTTGTACATGCCTGTAGTCCTAGCTACTCGGGAGGTTGAGGCCGGAAAATCGCTTGAACATGGGAGGCGGAGGTTGTAGTGAGCCAAGATGGGGCCACTGCACTCCAACCTGGGGGGACAAAGTGAGACTCCATCTAAAAAAATAACATGTGATTGATTGCCTTTAAGGCCCACCTAGATAATCCAGGATAATCTCAAAATCCCCATCTCAAAATCCATAATTGAGTGACATCTGCAAAGTCCTAGTCCTTTATTGAGATACAAGGTTAACATTTACAGCTCCCAGGAATTTGGATGTAGATACCTCCCAGGGAGCTACCACAATAAACATCTTAAAAGTGACCTCGCCTGGCTCAGTGGCTCACACCTGTAATCCCAGCACTTGGAGAAGCCAAGGTGAAAGGATTGCCTGAGCTCAGGAGTTCAAGATCAGCCTGGGTGACATAGTGAGACCCTGTCTCTATTTAAAACAAAAAACAAAAAACAAAGGCCTGAATGTGATTAAAGAAAAAAAGGAGGCCAGGCGCAGTGGCTCACGCCTGTAATCCCAGCACTTTGGGAGGCCGAGGTGGGTGGATCACGAGATCAGGAGATCAAGACCATCCTGGCTAACACAGTGAAACCCTGTCTCTACTAAAAAAAATACAAAAAATGGTGGCAGGCACCTGTAGTCCCAGCTACTTGGGAGACTGAGGCAGAAGAATGTGAACCCGGGAGGTGGAGCTCGCAGTGAGCCAAGATTGCACCACTGCACTCCAGCCTGGGCGACAGAGTGAGACTCTGTCTCCAAAAAAAAAAAGAAAAAAAAGGAAACAGGGAAACAGATTTTTTTTTTTTTTTTTGAGACGGAGTCTCACTCTGTCACTAGGCTGAAGTGCAGTGGCGTGATCTCCACTTTGTGCAACCTCCGCCTCCCAAGTAGCTGGGACTACAGGCACGCGCCACCATGTCCAGCTAATTTTGGTATTTTTAGTAGAGATGGGGTTTCACCATGTTGGCCAGGATGGTCTCAATCTCTTGACCTCATGATACACCTGCCTCAGCCTCCCAAAGTGCTGGGATTATAGGTGTGAGCCACTGCACCTGGCGTCCCCACCCCTTTATTTTTTTTTGAGACAGGGTTTGGTTCTGTTGCCCAGGCTGGAGTGCAGTGGTGTGATCTCAGTTCACTGCAACCTCCACCTCTTGGGCTCAAGCCATTCCCCACACCTCAGCCTCCCAAGTAGCTGGGACTACAGGTGTACAACATGTGCCAGGCTAATTTTTGTATTTTTTGTAGAGATGGAGTTTTTCTGTGTTGGCCAGGCTAGTCTCAGATTCCTGAGCTCAAGCAATTTGAATACCAAGGTGGGCGGATCACTTGAGGTCAGGAGTTCAAGACCAGCCTGGCCAACATGGCAAAACCCTGTCTCTACCAGAAACTACAAAAAATAGCTGGATGTGGGGGTGCACGCCTATAATCCCAGCTTCTCAGGAGGCTGAGGTGGGAGAATCACTTGAACCCGGGAGGGAGAGGTTGTAGTGAACAGAGATCACCACTGCACTCCAACCTGGGTAACAGAGTGAGACCCTGTCTCAAAAACAAAAAATAAAATTTATATATACACATATATATATTTGAAATCATTGAGTAAACAATTTTGCATTTGCATTCAGCATTTTTTTCATTTACAATATAATTAAAATTTGAGATACTAATGACCAGGTGAGATTCTCTAAGTCCTAGGTTTTACAACTAGAGTACTGTCTTTGAAACAGTCTATTTCATGCTTTGCCAGCCTGGCTAAGACCTTACCTTTTTCGTGTTTTGAGGTTCCCTTATCCCTAAAGTTCTCAAAATTTACCTCAAACAAGTTACAGTATTTTAATTTTTAAAGAGTAAGAAAAACATGAAGTTTTAAAAATTTTAAAAAAGAGAGTCGCTCATCTTTTTTTTTTTTTTTTTTTTTTTTTTTTTTTTTTTGAGATGGAGTCTCGCTCTGTCGCCCAGCTGGAGTGTAGTGGCCGATCTCACCCACTGCAAGCTCCGCCTCCCGGGTTTTACGCCTTCTCCTGCCTCCAAGCGCTCCCGAGGAGCTGGAACTACAAGGCGCCTCCACCCTCCGCCGCTAGGTTTTTTTGTATTTTTTTTAGAGAGAACGGTTCCACCGGGTTAGCAGATGGTCTCGATCTCCTGACCTCGTGATCCGCCCGTCTCGGCCTCCCAAAGTGCTGGGATTACAGGCTTGAGCCACCGCGCCCGGCCAAGAAGAGTCTTCTTATAGATGAGAAAGTGGAAGCACTATATAGGGAATATATTCATTTCTTCAAATGTAGCTTATGGAGTTATTTATTGAGTACTTACTGTATGTTAGTATTTTTCTTAGCACTTTACATTAATGTATTTAATTATATTTGATAGTTTCATTGTATATTCCTGAATATAAAGAGGCGGGAGTTAAACTTGTTGCTTGATAGTCTTTTTATTATTTTTCTTGTGCTTCAAGACAGACACATTCCTTAATTTTAGAATACTTGAACTTAAATGGACCACTTTCTTGGAAAATAGGTTTTTTGGGTTTTTCTTGAGACAGGTTTTTTTTTTTTTTTTTTTGGTTTTTTTGTTTTGTTTTGTTTTTTGTTTTTTGAGACGGTTTTGCTCCGTTATCCAGGCTGAAGTGCAGTGGCATGATTACTGCTCACATCTCCTGCCTCAGCCTCCTATGTAGTGAGACCACAGATGTGTGCCACCATATTTGGCTATTTTCTTTCTTTCTTTTTTTTTTTCCAATTTTTGTAGAGACAGGGTCTTGTTATGTTTCCCGGGGTGGTCTTGAATTCCTGGACGCAGTCAGTCCTGCCTCAGCCTCCTAAAGTGCTGGGATTACAGACATGAGACATCACGTCTGACTGAAAAGAGTTTTCTTTTTGAATTAAACTGTAACTAAACTATAATTAATCATGATTAGCTCGGTGACTTAAGTAAAGCAAAATATAGTTGAATACTATAAAATGAAAATTCTAGAATTGAATACTACAGTATTAAGGTAATAGCGTTGCCCATAGCAGCTGCTTCAAAATGTATATAATATGTATATTATATGGACATGCGTACCTCTTTAGACTTAATCTTTTGTTATTTTTGTTTTGTTTTTGCATTGTCTGAGAAAAAAATTATATAAAAGCACATGATTTTCATTAAGATACTGGTTTTCTTCTTCCAGCTTAAAGCAATAAATGTAGACCTTCAAAGTGATGCTGCGCTGCAGGTGGACATTTCTGATGCTCTTAGTGAGCGGGATAAAGTAAAATTCACTGTTCACACAAAGGTAAATGTGATTTTGTACTTTCTATTATTTTAGCCATTTATTATACTACATATGTGATATATTGACTGGTACTTGGATTTTAAACATAATTGGAAAGAGACTATTTTAACAAAAATAGGTGTAGGAAAATGTACTTTTTTTAGATTAATATTCTGAGAATCAGAACCTAGACAGAGGGCAAATTTAATTTTTTCCAAATTTTTATTAGTATCTTTTATCATTCTTGTTACTTTCAATTTCATTGTTCTTTCTGTCAAATTACTGTCTTACAAATGATTATTATTACTATTTTTTTTGAGATGGAGTCTCTTTCGTCCAGGCTGGAGTGCAGTGGTGTGATCCTGGCTCACTCACTGCAACCTCCGCCTCCTGGGTTCAAGCAATTCTCCTGTCTCAGCCTCCCAAGTAGCTGGGACTGCAGGCACAAGCCACCACGCCCAGCTAATTTTTGTATTTTTAGTAGAGATGGGGTTTCACCATATTGGTCAGGGTGGTCTCTAACTCCTGACCTCAGGTGATCCACCCACCTTGGCCTCCCAAAGTGCTAGGATTACAGGCATGAGCCACAGTGGCCAGGCACAAATTATTATTGTTATTAGATTTCAGTTCTTGAGTGCATTTTCAGATTGCAGATTTCTTTCCTTTATTTGAATAGGTGAGTTTAATATACATTAGTAATGTAACTTTTAAGTAACTGTAGCAGTACAATATAATAAGAGTCTGTCAACTTACTTTCCCAACAATCCGAAGATAATTTTGTCCAGATATCTCAGGTTTTATGATAGACTTTAAAGGGCACTGATGGTCTTGAAATAAGATGAATTTTTTTAAATGATAGAAAATATTTATTAAAAACTTTTTAAGGCCAGACACAGTGGCTTGTACCTATAATCCCAGCACTTTGGGAGGCCGAGGCAGGATGATCGCTTGAGTCCAAGAGTTCAAGACCAGCCTGGGCATCTTAGTGAGACCTCATCTTTACAAAAAATAAAATTAACCAGGTGTGGTGGTTCGTACCTGTAGTCCCAGCTACTTGGGAGACTGAGGTGGGAGGATTGTTTGAGCCTGGGAGGTTGAGGCTGCAGTGAGCCGAGATTGTTCCACTGCACTCCAGCCTGGTGGCAGAGCAAGACGCAGTTTCAAAAAACTTTTTAGTGTAAATTTGATTTTTATTCAAGAAAATCTCTATCTTTACAGAGTTCACTGCCAAATTTTAAACAAAACGAGTTTTCAGTTGTTCGGCAACATGAGGAATTTATCTGGCTTCATGATTCCTTTGTTGAAAATGAAGACTATGCAGGTTATATCGTAAGTATTGAGACTCCATTTTAATTCCATTTTCTAGGAGGTTTTAGGTACTTTATTATGTTTTGGAATATTGTTTAGCATTTTTTGTGAACTGTTTTTTTGTTTTGTTTTTGAGATGGAGTCTCACTCTGTTGCCCAGGCTGGAGTGTAGTGACTCCATCTCGGCTCACTGCAGCCTCTGCCTCCCGGGTTCAAGCAATTATCCTGCCTCAGCCTCCCAAGTAGCTGGGATTACAATCACGCACCAACACACCCAGCTAATTTTTGTATTTTTAGTAGAGACAGGGTTTCACCGTGTTGGCCAGGCTGGTCTTGAACTCCTGACCTCAGATGATTCGCCCACCTCGGCCTCCCAAAGTGCTGAGATTACAGGCGTGAGCCACCGTGCCCGGCTCTGTTATGTTTTTTAGAGACAGAGTCTCACTCGTGTTGCTCAGGCTGGAGTACAATGGTGTGACCTTTGTTCACTGCAACCTCTGCCTCCTGGATTCAGGCGATTCCCCTGCCTCAGCCTCCCAAGTAGCTAGGATTACAGGCACCCGCCACCATGCCCTGGTAATTTTTTTTTTGTCTTTTTAGTAGAGACGGGATTTCACCATGTTGGCCAGGCTGGTCTCCAACTCCTGACCTCAGGTGATTCTTCCTGCCTCGGCCTCCCAAAGTTCTGGGATTACAGGTATGAGCCGCCACACCCAGCCTGATATGTTTTTTTAAATTGTCAGTTATGAAACATGTTTGGTTACCACCTTTATCCTGAAATGTTTTCTTAGGGGATGTGGGATATGTTACGTTCCCTCATTTAAACTTAATTTCTTACCGTTTGTTAGAATTGAAATGGGCTTGTCCTAGGGACTAAGGAGATGTTACAAACCATACTGGTTTTAAAACCGTGGTTGGGGCTGGGCGTGGTGGCTCATGCTTGTAATTCCAGCCACTCTTGGGTACAGGCTGAGGCCGGGTGATCCAAAGTCACGGAGCCTTCCAAATGAACCAGCCTGGCCAACAATGTGACAACCTCGTTCTACTAAAAATATTTTAAAATTAGTCCGGGCTGGTGGCAGGTGCCTGTAATCCCAGACTTACTCGGAGGTCTTGAGGCAGTAATTGTCTTGACATCCTGGGAGGCAGATGGTTGCAGTGAGTCAAGTCCACCTACTGCCTGCCAAGCATGTGATGAGCAACGCCACTGTCCTCAAAAAAAAAAAAGTAAGAAAAGAAAAAACCATAGTTGGACAGTAATACTTAAGAGTTGGAACGTCTCGGGCTGGCCCGGTGGTCACCGCCTGTTAACCAGCACGTTGGGAGGCCATATGGCAGTAGCCCAATCAACCTGAAGGATGTGAGTTTGAGACAGCCTGACCAACATGGAGCACCACCATCTCTACTAAAAATACAAAATTAGCCCAGGCCCTGGTGGCCATGCATCTGGTAATCCCCAGCTACTCAGCGAACCTGCATCGGAGATCGCTTGAACTCAGGAGGCGGAGTGTTGCCAGTGTAGACCGAGATCAACCCATTGCACTCCAGGCTGGGCAACTGAAGGCACGTGGCTCACGCCTTGTAATCCCAGCACTTTAGTGAGCCTGAGTAGGTGAATCACCTGAGGCACAGGAGTTTAAGTACCAGCCCTGGCCAACATGGCGTAAACCCGTCTCTAACAAATACAAAAATTTAGGCTGGGTGTTATGGCGTTAAGTAATCCCAGCTAAAATATGTAAGATTAACTTTTTTTTTTTTTTTTTTCTTAGAACAGGGTCGTTCCTCGTCACCGGCTGGAGTGCAGTGGTGTGAGTTTTGGCTCATTGCATACCTCCGACCTCCCGGGGTTTCAGCGAATTCTCGCTGCCTTAGCCTCCCGAGTCACTGGGATACAGCGCCTGCTCACCAGACCCAGTCTAATTTTTGTATTTTTGTCAGAGGACGGGATTTCGTCATGGTGGCCGTGCTGGTCTTGCGAACTCCTGACCTCAATGTGATCCTTCCCACCCTTGTCTCACAAATGCTGGGATTATAGGCATCGAGCCACCACACCCGCCTCGTTATCAATCTTATATTAACCAGATGTGACCCAGTGACCAGTCATGTTTTTCCATGCTCTGTTTATCCAGCAGTTCTTGGTAGGCCAGACAGGCAGATTGCTCTAGCGCAGTAGCTGCAAGACCAGCTGGGCAACATGTTGAACCCTGTCTCTCAAAAAAAATTAATAATAATAAAAAAATAGTTGCAGATGTTATTGTAAAGAATAGATGTGTTATATGTGAGTCCACGCTGTTAACCTGCATTCAGATTTCTAAAATCTTGTTTTTTTTAATCATGCATGACCTGATTTCATCTCCATCCTTGGTGGTTCCACCGTTTTCAGTAATTGTTTTCTTCTTTCTTTTTTTTTTTTTTGAGACAAGGTCTTGCTCTGTCACCTAGGCTGGGGTATAGTGGTGCTAAGCATAGCTGAATGCAGCCTCCAACTCCTAGGCTCAGGTGATCCTCCTGCCTCAGCCTTCTCGGTAGCTAAGACTACAGGTGTCTACACCCAGCTAATTTTCAAATTTTTTTATAGAGAAGAGGTCTCACTCTTTGCTTAGGCTGGCCTCAAGTGATATTCCTTGGCATCCCAAAATGTTGGGATTACAGGCATGAGCCCCCACCATGCCCAGCCAACAGTTCTTATTTATGGACCCTTCCTCCTAAGACAGTTTTTTTTCTTACATCTTTCTCTTGAATGATATATCTCTTCTAAATCTTATATTTTTATTTAAGGTAAGTGCTTACTTACTCCCTGACTGTGGATATGAAATAGGAGTTGGAAGTTAGTTCATTTTAATCTGTTTTCTTGTCTGTTCCTTTTATTTTTCTGTGTGTGTTTTGTTGTTTTTTGTTGTTTTTTTTTTTTTTTTTGAGAGGAGTCTTGCTTTGTTGCCAGGCTGGAGGTTGGCAGTGGGCACCTCTCGGCTTCACTCGCAGTTTGCCCTTTCTGGTCACGCCATTTTCCTTTCCTGCTCATCCTTCCGAGTAGCCTGGAACTACAGGCAGGACCCACCCAGCGCGCGCGGCTAATTTTTTTGTATAATTTTTAGTAAGACGGGGTTTTACGTGTTAAGCCAGGCATGGTCTCGATCTCACTG